AACTCATTTTTATATACTTATTATTTTTATGTATATAAAAATCAGGCATAACATACCTTATCCTGATTTTTGTTTATTGTAAATTTGGTTTAACATATAGAAATTTTAACTTTTACAGGTTTATTTATTCAATTACATATTTTTTTTAGCTACTTAATCTTTTTTAACTTTCTTGTTTGTTAAAACTTCAATTGTTTGTTGAATTAAGTAAATTTGATGTTAATTTAATAAATGGTAATTATAAACATTGTAATTTAAAACTTGTACAAGTTTTTTGTTTGGTTTTTTAAACTAATCTTTTATTAATTAACGATATTAGTGTTGGTGTGTGCTGTCCATTAAGTTTTATGCTTTGATTTTAACCATTGATTTAGTCCATATCCATTATCAGCGGTAAATAAAGTTTTTAAATTTAAACTAAAAATTAAACTTTTCATCAAAATGTATTAGGATATGAAGTAGTTAACCTAGAAAATACATTACGATAGGAAGTAGTAGATTTAGAAGCAGAAGAAGCAAGAAGAAAAACCACAGGCTTTCACAATTGCAATCTACATGATTTTTTCAAGAGAAGTAAGATTATGATAAAAAAAATAAGTAAAGTATAAGTAACGTATGAAGTAAACGATTTTCAGTTCTTATTATGTTGATTTAATAGAACATGTTAAATGACAGGTACCATGTCATTTCTTACAACAAATGACAGGTACCATGTCATTTCTTAGAACAAATGACAGGTACCATGTCATTTCTTAGAACAAATGACAGGTACCATGTCATTTCTTAGAACAAATGACAGGTACCATGTCATTTCTTAAAACAAATGACAGGTACCATGTCATTTCTTAGAACAAATGACAGGTACCATGTCATTTCTTAGAACAAATGACAGGTACCATGTCATTTCTTAGAACAAATGACAGGTACCATGTCATTTCTTAGAACAAATGACAGGTACCATGTCATTTCTTAGATTGAAATCAGGTACCTTGTTATTTTGTAGATTAAAATCAGGTACAGGTGTTTATATAGAAAGAATAATATTTATCTTTGTCCAAAGGGCTCTGGAAACGGCTGTTTTAGTACCTTTTTTTTTCCAAAACCTTTTAGAAATACTCAGGAATCCGTTAAAAAGAATAAAGTATTTCAGTTTTAAAAATATTTTTACTTTAAATACAAATTAAATGTCACTATTAGGACATTCTTTTATAAGACAAAAGTTTACAATATTTTCAATATTTAATGACTACTTCAATATCTTTGACTACTTCTTCAACATCTAATGACTACTTCCCTTCTATTATAGGAATGAAAGTATCCAAAAGATAAAGCCCTTTTTTACAACTGCGTTTTTTTGTGTGGTTATTAAGGTGGTCCAAATTGATCTAAGAGTCTGGTCTCAAACTCTCAGATCATCGTGGAGTACCGTGAAAGTCATTTAATGAAAAAAATTTTTCATAACAATCATCAAACATCCCAGCTAGCACACATACATTGTTAAAACATTAGAACAATATCGTGCGTTTCGTTGACCCAACATCGACTGCCAACGTTGTTTTTATATCATTATGGTTAAAAATGCGACGTCCCCATCAACAAAAAATATTACTTATTTTTTAAATTAAATTCTATTTCCTTTATATATAAATATATATAAACAATCAACTTTTTGCGATGTTTTTACAAACTTTGGACCAATGTAAATTTGCCAGATGTTTTTAGTTCCGTCGGTAATAATTTTATCATTAACCAAATGACATTGGATCAACGTTGGTTTTGCATTGGAAAAAAGAACCGACTTTTGCGATGGTTTTACATACGTTGGCCCAATGTAAGTGTGCTAGCTGGGTTAGGACATTTTAATTTTGAAACCAACGCTCTGACCACTGCGCTATAACAGCTCGCTTTTAGTTAAACACCCTATTTGATATACAGACATTTTGAGCGTCTTATTCATTTATTTTTATTTTTTTTTTGTTCGAAAAATATATAGCATACTTTATATATAATAATCGTGTATATTTTTAGCTAAAATATACAATAATTTTTGTCTTGAACGCTTAAACTATATCTTTTGAAATTATTTTGGTCTTTTTTTGTTAATACGTCAATAAAAATGGAGCAAGTTGATAAACTAATTAAATTAAGTTTACCGTAAAATGGGGTAAAACGGTGTAAATAAGGAAATTTAAATGTAACTAAATTAAAATGTAACCAATTATTTGGGCCAGAATCATATTTGCTAAGAAAAAATGTTTTACTGATATATCAGCTGTTCTTGCCATTTTGTAGACATTCAAAAAAATTTTGCAGTGTTTGAATATTGCATATCCATAGCAGTGTTTGAATATTGCATATCCATAGATCCTCTTTTAAATTCTTTTTTTTTTTTTAGTTTTTATTTAATATATTTCAATAATATAGTTTACTATTTTATCTCTATAACTTGTTAATGGTGGTTACTGTTTATGATGATTACTGTTGCGTTTATATATTGTTTACGATCTCTAAAAATTTGTTGCATTAATAAAATATTTACTCGCAGAAATTGAGCGACTTTACTAGTAGAAATATATTAACTTACTTGATTAAAGTATAGTTTATTATTGTTATTAACGAAATTGTTTAATCGAAAAATATTTTGGTCAGAGGATCCATTTAATCAACTTTCTATTGCTTTTTTTTTTTGAGTATTGTATTTCGAATTTATAAATGTTTCAAAAATTGTGTGTTAATAGCTTCTTACATTTCAATCATTGTGTGTTAATTGACTTCTACTGCTTTTTTTGAGTATTGCGTGTAGTTTTAAACTTAAAAAATATTTGTTAAACACCAGCATCATAGTCCTTAACGTCTATCAACTGAGTTTGCTTTGGATATTAAATTCAGTTAAAAATTTGTTCAAATTCTCAGCTTTTTTCGACTGCTAAACATTTATCCAAGTTTTTCAAAAATTAAATACTCTTTTTCTTCTTTTAAGGTGGCACACAACTGAAAAAAAGCAAGTTTTTTGAAAAAAATCAATTTTTAGATTTTTGGGTATTTTGATTCTATAACCATTCCTTGAACATATAAAAAAAAAATTGTCTCAAAAATGATATAAAAGTTGATTTAATATCATTTTAGTAGATGACACTTGAAAATAAATTCCCTAACAACGCCTTAGCAACCATCAGTCTTAGGAGTTTTTCTGAATTCAAAACAGTAAAACACCATCACAAACTTGGTTTTAATTTGTTATACGCAGACTCTTGTTAGTTTTCCGTTTTAAAAGTCATAATTCAAAATTTTTTTTTAGAGCAAGAGTGTTTTTGATAATTTTTATGTTCTTTTATATTTTTTTCTTATTTTTGCTTTTTTCTCAATATGTATTTTTTTAAACTTTGAAACACATTTTCTCATTATTAAAACAGAATTACATAATAAAATTTTCAGGATTTGTTTATCATAGTATAATACTTCATTTAACCCTCAGAATTTTCATGAAAATTTATAGAAAGTGAAATTTTGATGTTAATAGTGCTGGATTTATTGATATTTCATATATATATTAGGTGATTTTGTTAGAAATGCAGTATTTCATGAAATAATTTAAATCATAAAAATTCCCACGGTCAAGCAGGGTGAAATATGATTAGGAAGCTATGTTCAAAATTTTAGTTTCAGTTGTTAAGGCAAAATTAAGTTATTAGGTTTTAAAGATTTACTAAAAACACATGTTTTACAACACATTTCTGGCCATTATGGATAATAAAATTGATTAAAAAAAAAATTATCTGTTTTTTATTTTATTTTAATATAAATTAATTGTCATTAAAAAAAAAAAAATCAAAATTTTGATTATTTACAAAAAAACTTGTTTTTAGTTGTGTGCCACCTTAAATCATCTCAAAGTTCGTTCTTCCGTTTTAATGAATTAACACTTTTTTCTTCTTTTAAACCGTCTCAAATTCTTGACGAGCAATAATGACGTAGATACCGAAAAATTGCTGTTTTGCCGTAAAATGTGTTCCGGTCTGATAATTTTTTTCATTTATTTTTATTTATCTGTATACACACACATATAAATACACACACTTTCACACATACATATATATACACACATACATACATACATTTTGCATATATAAATATTTGTATAAATAATTTTTTTTTTTTGTTATATAAAGTTTTACATTTACAAAGATGTGAATTTTTATACTTTTAATAAATTATAATAAAGAATATAATCACCATATCAACAAAAATAAAAAATAAAAAGGACAACCAAAAAAGAAATAAGTTGCTTAGTTCAAATAAAAACTTGGTATCTGATAGAAGATCTAATGATCTTGTGGCCAGAACCATATAACGTTATAATAAAATATAACTTAAGCCATTATTAAATATAAAAATAAATAAAAACGAAAAAATACAAAAATAAAAGAGCGTGTTTATATGAATTTCTAATTTTTAAAAGTATTTCAAAAAATTGTCATTAAAGAGAACAAATTCTTTTAACTTCTTTTAAAGACTAGGAAAGTAATTGATAAATCAAAATTAGGTTAAAGAATTTTGTTCCAGAGATTAGGTGCACGATAAGCTATACAGAACTGATTGAATTTTGTTCGACAAATGGGTTCATAGAGTAAGTTATCATTTCGTAGCATGTACTTATTTTTTGTTTTTAAGGTAATAAAATCTTTAAAAATGTGAAATTCTAAAATATTAGCGCATTTTAATAGACATATAAGTTGATAGATTCCTTGGTATTAAATTATTATTTTTGTTATTATTTTTTATTATTATTATTATTATTTTTATTATTGTTATTATTTTTATTATTATTGTTATTAATATTTTTGCTATTATTATTGGTATTATTATTTCAATGATAGAAAATATTGTTTACTATTAATCTTAATATTTAAAAATTTTCACAATTTATTTTACAGATTTTCGAGCATGCTCATCAACCATCAATAAGATGGAGTTTATCACGTAGAAGTATACAGATTGGTTAGCTACCATAATCAATAAAAAGAAGCAAATTAGTAAACGAAAAAAGGCTGAAGGGTTGCCAAATTATTTTACAAAAAGTTTAGATCGGCATAACAAATTTATTTTTAACAGGGAGTTCACTCAAGTAAAAAGTCGTAAACAAAAACGAAAAAAGACTTTCGCTTATGCAAGAAACTTTATAAATAAGATGGATTTTTCTATTGAGGCATTATTGGATTTAAAGAAAAACAAGCTAAATACAAAACTAAACAATAATACTCAGACAACAATAAATTGTTTTTCATGGAAAATATTCGAAAGCCATTTATCTAATTTAGATGCAAAAGAAAACGAGTTTACAGATACTCTGCAGACAGGTATTAATATGTTATTCTTTAAGCATTTGTTAACTACCTTTTTAATTAATACCTTAAATTGTTTATTTTTGTTTAATATTATTAAATAAACAAAATCAAACTTTATCTTTCACATCCTTTAGTGAGGTTTAAACCTTAGACATGCTTCTTGCTTTCGGAAAAAGATCCCGCAAGGGTGAATAACTCTTTATAATAAAAAGCACTGTTAAAAAAGAAAAGTTTATATAACTTATTATCAAATGACAAAAAGTAGGCAATATAGAATGAAAAAATCAACATTAACAGCGAATTTATAAAGAAAGGAGTGGGGGGGGGGGGACAGAGGTTCTTAAACTCCATTTTTCTAAATTTTGTTTGTTTATTAAAAGAAATTGTTAGCACATTAATAGCTCGTAGTTTACATAGCAGTATAATTACAAAAAAAGTTAATTACTTAGTTAATCTATTTAAAGACGAGACATTTTTTTTAGTTTTTAAAATCAAACATTCCTAAAAATTTGTTTTAAGGTATTTGAAACAGCGAAGCGAACAGACGCCAAAACTTTGAGAAGATTTCGAAAACTAATGCGCAATTTATTATGTCTCATCATTTGCAAATACATTTAATTAATATATAAAATCAAAATAAAAAACGATGTATAGCTAAAAATATTTTATTAATATATTTCATGTATTAGGCAGAGAATATCGAATAAAAAAATATTTTTTAAATAAAATTTAAATTTGCGCGCCTTTTATTTTTCGGCGCTTATTGTTCAAACAATGCTCGAATGGAGACAAAGTTTAATTCATCAAACAAAAAAGGTTTGCGTCTACAAACAATGTTCAACTATCCCCCAACCTGCAACAAGTACACGTTTTTGATATTTATACTAATTTATTCTAATTTATACTGACTATCACAAACTCTCTCTAGTGCAACATCTACATTCTATAAAAGTTAGTTTTCTAAAACAAAATCTTGTTACCAAAGTATTTAAAATTATTAACAAGAATGTTTATTTACCACAAAGATAGCTATATAGAAGAACGCCCACAGCCGATTTTTCTGGCTTTGGAATGGCTTTACTTCTGACTAAATTCCTATACAATTAAATTTGACTAAAAACAATGTTTTGCAAAACCAAGTTTATGTAATATCATTAAAATAACTTAATATAATAACTTAATATTAAAAATAAATTTTAATAAAAAATTTATATTAAAAATAAGCATTAATAAAAACTTATTAATAAAGTAAAAACTAAATAAAAAGTAAAAGTTTAATTAAAAAGAAGTGAATAACGTCTATAATAATAAAGAGAATATTATGAAAATAGTTTATATTTAAAAAAAAAAAAATGTCCTCTAGAAGACATTTTAATAATGAAAAAATCTATTTAAAAAACATGAAAAAACAATATAATGGACTTCGTAATCTATTTTAAAACACATGTTACTCAGTAAAAGATACCTTTTTTTTTGATGTCTTTTCAAAATTGTCTTTTACGTGTATGACTAATTTAATTGGGTTGTCCTACTTCAACAGTATTCCACTTAACTAAAATTTTAGAAATAATGCAGCATATTGGACTAAACACTTTTTTAAAGCAGAGTAACATGATCAGCTGCCATAAAATCATTTTTCCTTGTCGATTGTCTATAAATAATTAATTCTCCATCAATTCTGTCACTTTGCAGCTCACTAAGCGTAAGCTGAATGAATACAAATGTTTTCAGTCAGTTATAAGCTCTTTATTGGTTTGATTTTTTTAGCATCATAAGTAACCCACTAAAATTGTTTTTGATTGTACAAATCAATTTTGTTTTCTCAGTCTAATAACTTAGTCATTTGTAAAGACATAAATAGTATTCCACTTAACTAAAATCTGCTTATTTAAATTAGTTGGAATATTCTGTCTAGAGAGAATATTTGACACATTTCAGTAATCTAGCTGTTCTGTAGACATTTACATAAATGAACTGATTTAAACAAAAAGCCAAACAAGCGGATCACCTAATGGATAAACGACCAAACAGTCAGTAGTTCTATAAATTTAAACCCTAACAACTGCCTCACAACAATCAATTTTAACCCAGTGACTAATGTCACTGGGTTAAAAAAACCCATTAAACTAGATCTATCTATGTAAGCTATCATGACATATATGAAAATGTGTAGTTTGCTTTGGAATCTGAATAATTTCTTTTTGGCATCCTATTAAATACTCCACCCAAATAAGCAACTGTTGGCTTATTTTGTTACCTCGTTTACTATTAAAAAAGCGTTTTTCTGCAATATAAACTTTAATTTTTAAAATATTTTTTTCCAATTTACTATTAAAGTTTGTGACGGAAATTAAATTAACTGCGTCTATTGTTTACTTGGTAGCACAAAAAAATTACGAAGTAATCGTTGTCGCAACAATAAAAAAAAAAACAAAGCAGTAATCACCTATAAAGAAACTTTTGTTTTATAAAAGTTTGAATTGCCTAGTAGTAAAATTTAGTGATATTTATAATAGTATTATTTAATTCAAATTGATCATCTAAAATAATGATTGCCACTTTTTCAGAAATATCATTTACATACAGATTTTAATTATGAACTATATTAATATAGTAAAATATTAGCTAGTAATATATTACTAGCTTCGAAAACAGGGAGTAGAAGATTAAGCGAGACAACATAATCATTTCCTTATTTTTAGAAAAAAGTTTTTTACATATAAAAAATTTAGATAGCTCGATAAAAAATACCTAAAACTAAAGTTGAGAAACTTTAGTTTTAGGTAATTTAAAAACAAGACACTTTAGTTGAAATAATTTTTTTAAAATTTACAACTCTATTTGTTCGACATAGTGAAAGAAGAAGATTTTCAAAAAATATCAATCCATTGTTAAAATGCACTTCAACATCGATTAAAAATAATGGCCTTAGCTAACGAAGCCAGAAAACTGATTTAGCGAAGCCAGAAAACTGATTTTGTTTTTAGTTGTTATTTAATTTGTTGCACGGGTTCGCTAAAAATATGTAGGAATAAAATAATATATTTGTTATAAAATAATGGAATTACTGTTTTTTTACGGCTTCAAGTTTTACTTTAATATTAGAATTTAAAACGAAATTAGAATGGAAAAATGCAAAAAATCAATCGATTGAAAATAAAGTAAGTTAAAGGACGAATGAATAGGTCCGTTCATATAAATAGGTCGTATTAATAGGTCAAATAGGATGCATAAATTTTATACGTCCTTGATTATAGGACATCAATTTTAGTATATGAGTTTCTAATTATGTTAAAAAAATTTTGTTGGCGATTTGTATTGACATGATTTATGTAACAAATAATTGTATTTTATTCATTTTTGTCTGGTTACATGTGCTTGTTTTCTTTAAAAGTATTATTATTGTTTTCAATATTTATTATTTATTAAATTATTTTGTTATTATGGAGTAACTTAGTTTAATTTTTTTCTATAGCCGCGGAGCAGTGGTTAGTTCAGATTCAGAACCAAGAGGTCTGAGGTTCAACGCCAGCTCTAGCCCAATAAGTAACATTGGTAAGGAAGGAGAGGCGAACTTCCTAGTTAAAGGCTCTTCCACGGTTCTCTGTGATAAGACTTCTGTGATAAGACTTCTGTGATAAGACTTCTGTGATAAGACTTCTGTGATAAGACTTCTGTGATAAGACTTCTGTGATAAGACTTCTGTGATAAGACTTCTGTGATAAGACTTCTGTGATAAGACTGTAAGGACTTCTGAGAACACCTTATCACACAAACAAAAACAAAATATTTTTTTATAGATTTGTAGCTTTACATAATATTTATAAAAAAAATAATATAAATAATTTATATTAAACATTGTGTTAGATAAAATATCTATATTAATTCAACGATGGTTTTTTAATTGGTGCTATTTGACAAGGTCGGCGCAAGGTAGGGGGGGGGGTACCTGTATATGCGTGTGTGGAAGGGTTTGGCATATTGTGTCTTTTTTTGGCCAATTAAAACCTTTTTTTAGATTCAGTTGTAAAAATGGGACTCGGACTGTATACCTCTAGTCAGCAAATTGTGAGATTAAAGGACCTTTTAGGGGTTGCTTTTTTTTAAAAAAAGTACTTTACCTGTTGTTAATTTAAATTATTCAACATAGCTGAAAAATATACTTTACCAAACAGTTTTACTGAATATAAATAAATTAATTTTTTTAAATTTTATGTTCATTAAAATTAAAACCCGCGCAGTAGTACTGGTTTGATGCATTTGTTTAATTAATACCCGAGCAGTAGTACTGGTTTGACGCATTTGTTTAATTAATACCCGAGCAGTAGTACTGACTATTGTAATAGTATATTTAATTTTTATTTAAAGCAAATTTTTTCAAAATTTTTATCAGGTGCCCCAATAAGTCCTTACGGTCTTATCACAGAGCACCGCGGATTAGCATTTAAAAGGAGGTTTACGCCTCCTTCCTAACTGATGTCGCAAAACTTGCCTAAATGGGGTTTAAACCACGGTTCCTTTCTTAGGCGAATACGCTACCACTGCGCCACGACTACCATTAATTAACATGTGTTTTATTGATTTATTGTTTAGCAAATAAATAAAAAATAAGCGCTTGTTTAATACCTTCTGGGTACAAACCACGACGTTAGAATTATCTTCTTCTATCTCTAATTTCGAATTCCGGCCAGAACCGAATTTGCCAGAATTGTTAATAAAACTCCGGCCGGAACGAGAATTATATTTTTGTATACTTTTACTTTCAAAATTGAAAGTGAAAGCCTACGCTTCAGCATTGTGGCTACATAAAATATATTTATAACCTGTAATATATATACATATATATATATATATATATATATATATATATATATATATATATATATATATATATATATATATATATATATATATATATATATATATATATATATATATATATATATATATATATTATATATATATATATATATTGAAAGTTTTAACCTGCATAATATTTATATCTAAAATTATTTCTGTGTTTTCTATTTTTCTATTTAGGTTAAAATTGAAATATTTACAATATTAGGCATTCCATACTTTTTAATTATTTAAGATTTAAGTAACATTCAAAATGAGAAAATTCTCAAAGGCAGGTAACATTTTTAATGAAAAAAGAGCTAGTTTGTTGCCCAAAACTGAATAGCGATTCTTTTTGCATCACCATTTTCCTAAACTTCTAGAAATCCTTACCTAATTGGTTGCTGCAAATAAAATTATGTGTTTGTTGAGAACTTTGTATTTTTTACCTAGGTTTACCTATAGTTCTTCATTGCCCTGTAGGACGATGATTTTTTTAATTTATTTTACAGTCTGTTTCAAATGTCTTAAAAAAAAAGGTAAAAAATAAATTCCGGCATTCCGGCCTGAAATATGTAAATGTAAAATATGTAAAATGTAATTCAGGCCGGAACCGGAATGACCTAAATGTCATACTTTCCGCAGGAATTCTAAACTCAAAAATGTGGAAATAGAAAAAGATAATTCTAACTTCGCGAAACGTCAATAAGACGTCTTAAATAATTGGCTGAGATGTTATCATAATAGGGCAATTTTTTGTTATAACTTTTTTATACTGTTAGATAAACCATCAGATAATCCTGAAAATGAAAAAAAGATCTCGCAAAACGATTGGTCAAAAAAAAACCCGAGTTGCAAAAATCGTCGAATGCCAAGATCTGCAGATCGTAGAATGCGCACATCTTTTACGTTTGAGCAATTGAATGAACTGGAAAATAAATTTAATGACTCGCAATATCTTACTTCACACGAAAGATTAAATTTAGCTTTAAACCTTGGATTATCTGAAACTAAAATTAAAGTATGGTTTCAAAACCGAAGAACAAAGCTCAAAAAAATCAATGCGTTAATGGACTTTTGTTATTCTAAATCTCAAAACGCATTTTTAACACAAGAAGTGCCGATCAATTATTCATGGGGGTTACCTGAAGAAAACATTTTCTCGGCTTATGCACGATGGCCTTCAATAGACTTTAGGGTACATAATTATTTGCAAACGTAAAATCGTAGATTTGAAAGAACTCATAAAAATCAAGTGTTAAATAAACTTTCTATTCAAAAACGTTGCTAATCGTCTATAAAACTAATTTCAACAAACTTTTAACTAATTTTAATTACCAATCGAAATTTTAATAATATAAAAACTATTTGTAATAAAATTAATTCAACTATAATTTTTAACTTATTTAAAATAAAATGAAATATTAATAATTATTGTATAATTTATTATCATTATTGTTTGCTTTATTGTAATTGACAAGTTTTAATATGTTTGAATAACGCTTAAACTTTTGTAAATATATAAATATAATATAAATATGGGATATGAACTTGTTTGATTTTTTTTTTACACGTATCTATATAGTTTTATACAGGGTCATAATTTTCTTAATTTTTTATTTCAAAGGTTGGAAATAAAAAAGGCAAAATACCGCCATCTTTCTAACTTTGGTCATAATTAATATATTCCTATCTGGGGATTAAAAATGTAGTTTCGTACCATTTTTAAAAAGCAGTATATGCAATATTTTCATTGAAAATTTTAAATTAAGAAAATAAACAGTTAGTCTATAGTTATTGTGAATGCAGAAATACGATAAATCCTAATAAGTTGTAAGTGACGGTGAGCTTATTTTTAAAACATTTTAACGTTTATTTTCAAAACGGATTAGTAATGTAAAAATTTTTTTTTTGTTACTTTATGTTTTTGCAACTACCTTTGCTCAATTGAGATTAAAAAAA